GCGAGAGGTGACGAGAGCCTGAGTGACTGTGCGCAAAGCGTCCCGGTCCAGAAAGGGGCGCAACTGGTAGATCAGGCGCACCTGATAAAACGCCCCCCTGGTCACGGCCGACAAATGATCTTCCAGTGTCAGCCGTGGATCCAGGAGGACTCCCAGATTGCGCGCCCTCTCTGAGGGGGCCAAAAATTCGCCCCCTATATTATAAAATTCGCCCCCTATGTTATATCCTACCCCACCCAGAGCTCTGCTTTGAGGGAGGTGAAGGGATTAGCAGTATCAATAAATATCAATAAATACCAATGAATAAATTTTGTAGATCGGAGAGCACAGAATAGATAAGGGGCAAATCTGTATCCGGGAGAGTCCTAATAAATGAAATGAAAAAAGGGGGGTCCCGGCATTCCCCCCCATGGAACTCCCCCTCCCGCACTCACCTCTCCGGCCAACCACGGAATCTCTCTGGAGACCCTCGTAGTTGTGTCGGCAGAAGGAATCCACTTCGGCCCTCTTGATCTGCATGATGACCTTATCGCTGTTCCAGTTGTCCACAAAGGGCTGCCCCAACGGAGTGACGGCCACATATTTCCTGAGGTCGCTGTCGAAGTAGTCGATCTCCTGCCGGTCGTAGAAGTGCCGCTCCAGGAACCGCACCCGCTGCGTCCCGTTGAAGAAATGGCACTCGGCCTTCTCCTGGAGGAGGAAATGAGCTGCGGGGGGAGGGGTGGAGCAGAAAGAAGAAAGCCCTCAGGAGGGACTCCAGGGCCCATGGTTCCCAGAGGCTACTACAGGAGGGGCGGAGCGACGGGAAGGCGGAGTGATGGGAGACCTGCTGTGAGGGACTGCCGGAAGGCGCCCCCTGGAGGAGGGATGGGGAACCGTCGGTCCCAGCGAGATTCCCCCTTCTTGGGGGTCTGGAGGGGGGGAGGGAAAGGAGGGAGGAGGGAAAGAGCTTCCTGAGGGACCCCCTGTTCTGGATCACATAGATCCATGTATCTTGTATAACTCTATGTATTCCTATGTAACAGGTCAGGGGGAGGGGTTAGGGTCAGGGGCGGAGCTTCAAAAGGGCATCCCTGGACACTAGCCTGGGTCAGTCCTTTGTTCTTGGGCATCACA